AGGGAGGCCGGCTAGCGTCCTCCTAAAGCCCCGTGCCTCCACTCTCACCTTGACAAGCCAAAATCCATCCATTATTAAGTAAGATGAATGGAAAATCAGACCATATATATATATCATTCCTGTGAGAAGATAAATGCCCAAATGTCACTCTTGTAGTTGCCGAATTTCTCTCTTAGGCAGCTAGGATCAGAACCCACTATATATAAAGAGACAATTAGATTTATTATTATTATTATTATTATTATTATTATTATTATTATTATTTGAGTATTTATACTCCACTCTTCAGCCACAAAGTGTTCTGGAAAGCAGGCAGCAGGGCTGATAGCCAAAGTGAGGGAAGGTCCCAACAAAGTCCTAGTTACCAATCTAAGGGAGCAGCAAGCGAAGAGTCAAACACGGTCCGTAGGTTGAGGGTTGCAGAGAAGCCGAGAAACAAGGCAGCCCAAGGTCCAGGGATTCAGAGGTCCAAGAGTAGTCAGTGGTCCAAAGGTCGAGGATACCAGGAGTCCAAGATAGTCAAGAGTCAAGGGTTCAATGCAAGGAAAATGGAGAGACAGAGACAGAGGCTTTCACCAGGGAGCTCAGATAATCTCTGGCGACAAGGTATTGTTTCCACACTTGCTTAAATCCCCACACTGCCAGAATTCAGCTGGGGCTGATCACCTTGATTCCCTTGGAGTTTTTCATAAAGCCTCCTCGAGCACCTGAGGCCCGTCCTTTTGGCTCGAGGCTGACTAAAGGTAGGCACAGTCCCCTGATCCTCCTCCATGTCCAATGGCTCTGTCGATGGAAGGTTTGGCTGTGAAGTGACCTCCTGAGACACTACAGAGTCTGCTGGAGACTCTGCAAGACTTGGCAAAGCAGGGCTGCTAGGGTCAGACTGGGGTTCCTCTGCTGTAGGGTCGTGGCTCAGAGTAAGTTCTGACTCATCCTCGAAGTCATCCTCTGAGTCCTCATCTGAGCAGACATGACACAAAGGTTTTCAAAGCAGCTTACCAAGTGGTTAATTAGATGGTTCCCTGCCCTCAAGCTTACAATCTAAAAAGACATGACACAAAAGGAGAATAGAATGGCAGTGGGAAAAGAGAATAAGTCTGGCAGTTCTTCTCTCCCTCTGAGAGTACGCTGATAACACCCAGATATACTTCTCCATGACCAGATCATCGACTCAGACTTCAGATGGCATCTCTCCTCTTAATGACTGACTCAGAGCAGTAATGGATTGGATGAGGAAAAACAGATTGAAGTTAAATCCATACAAAATGGAGATACTAACAGTCACAGGCCCGAAACCAGGTTTGGGAATACAGTCTCCAGTCCTGGATGGAGTCCCACTCTCCTCTAAGGACTGTGTTCACAGTCTGGGGGTACTCCTAGACTCGTCGCTTCACATGACTAGTCAGGTGAATGTGACGATCAGGAGTGCCTGTTATCAGCTTTGGCTGATACGCCAACTGTGCCCTTATCTGGACATGAGGGATCTGGAAACTGTGGTGCATGCTCTGGTAACCTCACGTCTGGATTACTGCAATGTGCTCTACATGGGGCTACCCTTGTGCCTAACCCAGAAACTGCAACTGGTGCAAAATATGGCAGCCAGGTTAATCATTGGAATATAGGAGGGAGCACATAATATAGGAGGGAGCACATATAGGAGGGAGCACATAACAATATAGGAGGGAGCACATAACACCAGTGCTTAAATCCCTCCACTGGCT